TGAAAGACGTTCTTCATTCACGCAGGATGAATGTATGAATGTTTGAGACATTTCTGTCGTGTTTTTATGACTCAACGTCGTGCAGCAACATCATCATTAATCTGACACAGACTGACGTTACTGATAAACAACAGAAGTAATGAAAAAAGAAACCTCCATTCATGTAAATGTTTCTGGCGTGTGAGCCCCCAAAGCTAGGCTCGTTTCTCTTGAACTCATCCCATCACGGGTAACCTCTGTAATTAGTTTGCCGTTTATCTAATTTGCAAATCTAATTGAAACAGACGGATGCCTGCGAGAGAGAAAGAGAGCGAAGTGAAAACAGAAACACGACGAGAAGGAATTACATTACATAAGTCATGTGTAATTGAAATGCCAGCAGCCGTGATGGAGCTGTTTGTCTCGCCTCACTCAGTGTTTTTGTTTCTCCATCATCAACTTTCAGACATTCAGGTCGCCACATGGCAAACAGGCTGCTCACTCCTCTCAGGTTTCATGTTTATTCATAAGTTATCTAAGGCTGATGGATGAATTCATAAGTGTTTTGTTTAAAAACACTGTGAGAAGATACGTAGTAATTCACTTGGATTTTATGTTCAAATAAAGTAGCTATTTGGAACAGTTTCTGCTGTTTCCTTATCGTTCTCAAAGTGGTCTCAGTACAAATGTGTAAGTAGACGACTATGGAACTGATAAAATAGTATTAATTTCAATAGTGTGAACAATATATTTGCTTTTTAGGATTTGTTTTACTGTTCTTTGGCTTGCACTTGATTGCCTTGTTGGGACTTGTGTTATTGGTTTTGACTTTGGACTTATTGGTCTATTTGTAATTTAATGAGCAACACTTTAATAAATACTGGATGCTCCTTTTTTCGAGATGTTAATGTTACAATTTATGTACATAATTTAAGTTTGACCATATTGCTGGTGTGGAACCTTATTAAAAACAATTGCTGGATATATCAGCTTCTAACTGTATTAAAGGGGCCCTATTATGCTTTCCATCGGATTACTTTGTTTGCTTACTTAACATAGTGACATCACTACGTAACCCTCACGCTTCTATTGGCTAGTGCTCCAACACATTGTAAGTGATAGGATAAGGGGCGGCACATCGCTAAGCGGTTGACCAATCACAACAGAGCCAGCCAGCTAACCAATCAGAGCAGACTGGGCTCTGGTTTTAGACAGAGGGTGATTAGAGAGCTTTTTGAACATTAAAGCATGTAAACATACAGATAAGATATACTTTATTGATCTCAAATTGGGAATTTTTTTCGTTGCAGCAGCATAAAAAACAAGGCATTGCACATTAGTAGAACTTAACGAGTAGAAATAAACAATTCCAAATGTAAACATGTCAAAGTAGAGACATTAAATACAATTACAAACCTGATAATGACCATAATGTGTGCTCTTTAAGTGGAAACATGGATGTATTGCTGCGACGTTTCAGTCATAATTCTATTTTCCTGGTAATTGTCTGTCATTCCACATTGAATCTGACTTCCTTGTCACATTGAACAAAAGTAAACATAATTGTGTTTGTTGCAACACTTCACTGTTTATGCCAGGCAACGAATGAAAACAGGAATATAGAATATAAGATGTTGTTCATTTACAACAAGTTCCATCGTAGTATTATTATTCACAGAACTGAATTGTTTTTGAAGTAGCATCCAAAGAAAATCTCACCTACCTCTCTTAGAACTCTAAAGTATCCCTCGGTGAACAGATACCTCTATTTGAGAAACAGTGCAGTAAACAAGTCAGATTAGATTAAAAATAAGATGCATTGAACACCTGCTTGTTTCCGAACGTCTCTGTTCTCCAGCAGATGTGAAACCCTCTATGAGTCAGAGCTTCTTGTGAATTCAAAACGCTGCATTCAGGCTCCATTTGAATTTTCCCGGATCAAACATATGTATTCTTTCAATATTGAGGAGGTTGATCATCTACTGGGAGCAGCGATCATCTGCAGCCTCGGCTCTTTGACATCCGAGGCTCATTTATTACCGCCGTACAGACGTGTAATCAGTCTTTACTGCCGGAGAAATGCCTCCCTTCGGACAGATCCCCCGCCGCCCGCCTGCTATTAACATTAAATTGGATTTCATTTCTAAGCCCCTATTAATTCAGAAAGGTCTTGTCTGTTGATGGAGGGTCCAGTCCAGCACTTAGTTTCTTCCTCCTCTCTTTTCGCAGCCGGCGGCGTGAGCTCTAATAACGCTAATTACTCTGCGAAAATCTTTAGGAAAGGACTTTCCAGAGTTTTCAAATAAAATACGACGACGTCTTCGACACTCTGTTATTTAATCACGGCTAATGAGACGGAGCCAAAATGTATTTTTTTAACATGAATGGGTTAGTTATTCCGTAACGGAGCTCATTTCACATTCCCATAATCCTTTTTTCTGCCCGGTGGCAAGGACGAAACTCTGAATTGAGTAAAGTTTGTTAACAGGCCTCGCTGTTCTTCAGGCTTTACCTTCTCAATGTTGCCTGTTGTGTTTGTGCTTCATTAAGCAGAAAATATAAATACGATGATTAATTAGTCTATCTATTCTCAACAGCTATGGTGTGGTGCAGACACGAGTCCTACAACCCGGAAATAATGTAGGATTTTACCACCTCAGGAGTCAACCACGTGTACAAATGGGTTGTTATAGGACTGGTGTGTTAGATAGAGAGGTGGAATAGCGACACATTCGGTCCATTTGTTTATCTTTTAACATAAACCTTTGTTTACAGGTGTCCTTCCATCATATTACATAATATTCATCAGCAAATGGAGCCGTTGTCGTCTCAAATTGAGAAAATACTGACATTTTTTTTTTTCATCCAATAACTTTAAAGGTGCCCTATTCTGCAAATGTTAAGGTTCATCATCTTCCCCTCTACTCTGTGACATGTTTACCTGCTTTTAAAGTGCTTAAATGCCAATAGCCAAAAGAGGCGTGAGTGTTACATAGTGATGTCACATTGTTCCAGAAGTAAATAAAGGTGTACAAGCTAGGTGTTTTAGGTGAGGGGGTGGGGGTGTGGGAGAGATACTCCCTCTGATTCTAGCCTTTGCAGACCGTTTACATGCACTAAAACCTATAGGACACACTACAGGAAAGGGAACACCCAAAGGTCTTCAGGTCCTCTTCTTTCAGATTAAAAATAAAACTATAACTTCATATTTGACTTTGGAAGCACAAGATCCACTCAATAGTTGGTTTTAAACTTTCCAAGTCTCAAATGGAGCAAATACCAAAGGAGGCGTGAGTGTTACATAGTGATGTCACAAATTCCAGAAGTAAATAAAGCAATCCAAAGTAGGCGTTTTTTAGACGGGGGGGGGGGGGTGGACGGAGTGTGGGGGAGAGAAACTCCCTCTGGAGGGAACACAGGGATTGTATCCTTTGCAGACCATTTACATGCACTAAAACCTAAAGAACACACTACAGGAAAGGGAGCCCCCCCAAAAAGCATAACATGGCCCCTTTAATGTCTTCTCATACATGTTGGGTTTCAGATTAAGATTACAAATACAACTTCATATTTGACTTTGGAAGCACAAGGTCTACTCAATACTGGGTCTCATGCCTTCAAAGTCTCTCAAGACACTCATTGAGTTTGAATTAACTTTCAATCTCAATCCAACGTGTGTTTTAAAGGTCACCTATTATGCAAAATCCACTTCTTCATGTCTCTTCTACATCAACATGTGTCCCCTCTTCTTCATGTCTCTTCTACATCAACATGTGTCCCCTCTTCTTCATGTCTCTTCTACATCAACATGTGTCCCCTCTTCTTCATGTCTCTTCCACATCAACATGTGTCCCCTCTTCTTCATGTCTCTTCTACATCAACATGTGTCCCCTCTTCTTCATGTCTCTTCTACATCAACATGTGTCCCCTCTTCTTCATGTCTCTTCTTCATCAACATGTGTCCCCTCTTCTTCATGTCTCTTCTACATCAACATGTGTCCCCTCTTCTTCATGTCTCTTCTTCATCAACATGTGTCCCCTCTTCTTCATGTCTCTTCTACATCAACATGTGTCCCCTCTTCTTCATGTCTCTTCTTCATCAACATGTGTCCCCTCTTCTTCATGTCTCTTCTACATCAACATGTGTCCCCTCTTCTTCATGTCTCTTCTTCATCAACATGTGTCCCCTCTTCTTCATGTCTCTTCTACATCAACATGTGTCCCCTCTTCTTCATGTCTCTTCTACATCAACATGTGTCCCCTCTTCTTCATGTCTCTTCTACATCAACATGTGTCCCCTCTTCTTCATGTCTCTTCTACATCAACATGTGTCCCGTCTTCCTCATGTCTCTTCTACATCAACATGTGTCCCCTCTTCTTCATGTCTCTTATACATCAACATGTGTCCCCTCTTCTTCATGTCTCTTCTTCATCAGCATGTGTCCCCTCTTCTTCATGTCTCTTCTACATCACCATGTGTCCCCTCTTCTTCATGTCTCTTCTACATCAACATGTGTCCCCTCTGTGTAAAGAGACTCTGAAAGTTTCAGGAACAAAGATTCTCTCTCTTTTTGTCCTGATCCATTTATATAAAAACCTGTCTGAAAATGAGCTGATCAGATTTTGGCCACTTTATGATGTCATAACGATGTTTTGGCTTGTGTAACCATTAGCCAATCACCAACCAAGGTAACCCCCCCCCGTATCACCTGAATCTCCTCCTAGAGCACCATAGTGTTCTTTGTAACCAAATCTCTCTCAGAGGGGCGTGGGGAGGGGCTCCTTATTTTCATCTAAAGTAACAGACAGAGAATCAGCACTTTGGAAACAGGGCTGAAACAGAGGGGATTATGGGATGCTGCAATGATCTGTTTGGTGTTTCAGCCAATCAGAGACATGTTCTGTATATATCTGAGACCTGTAATATGTTGATGTAAAACAGTATAATAGGGGACCTTTAATGTGTTTACAGTCTAATTGTACATCTTCTGTGTTTGACCGCCGCTCTGTGTGTGTTTCAGCGCTGGAGAAGGTGGGCCGTGACTCCACCTACGAGCAGGAGGGGAAGGTGCAGTTTGTGATGGACGCTGTGTACGCCATGGCCCACGCTCTGCACCACATGCACCGAGAGCTCTGCTCCGGATTCCCCGGCCTCTGCCCGCGCATGGCTAACATCGACGGCAAGGAGCTGCTGGCACACGTCCGCGCCGTCGCCTTCAACGGTAAGAACTGCTGCTGCTTTATTATCCTCATCATCATTCACCCTCACTCATTTACTCTGTATGGCCATAGCTTTTCAAATTAAACTCTACAGACTTCTTATGCTCACAATTTTCTCTCAAATCTCCTTTAACACTGTAGGTGTTACTTTAAATGTGTATTAAGTAACATTTCTGTTTTTCGGCAGCTAGTCCCTTAAAACAGAAGCCTCAGATTGCTTTCAATAAGGGGAAATATGAAGGGTCTATTTCAAGCTTGTTGTGTAAATAAGTTATTGGTCTTGTGATTGAGAGGGATCCCCTTGAAGAAAGATGTGACAGAGAACGAATGCTAATCATGATTTTCATTGTCATTTCCTTTTTGAAAGTCTGAGGAAATGTTATGTTGAACAGAGGGATTGTAATCAAGTTAATGAGAGCATTTGATGTGGGATTATTGGTTTAGCAGGACTGTAGATCTTGTGACGGAGCCATTTGGTTTGCTGTGAGGAATCACCTCCTCCACAGTCAACAACTTGAATTCTGTTAAGGTACAAACAAGTTCTGTGACAGAAAAGTGTCTCCACACTCTTCTTCTTCTTCTTGAGTTTCTTCACTTTGTGTTGCCCATCGTGTTATGTGAGCTGAGATTCAAACACCAACCAGGAACAAGGAGGCGCGCCTACAGGAGTCAAAACGTGTCTTTGAAAACGAGAGAAGTCGTTAAAAACAGACGGCTCTGTTGTGATTGGTCGCTTAGAGATATCCCGCCCCTTAGCCTATCACGTACAATGTGTTGGAGCACTAGCCAATAGAAGCGTGAGTGTTACAAAGTGATGTCACTAAGTAAATAAAGGAGTCCAATGGAGGCGTTTAAGGCCTTTGCAGACCATTTACATGCACTAAAACCTATAGAACACACGGCAGGGAAGGGAAAACCACAACAAGTAGAATAGGGCCCCTTTAAGCTGTGTTACTCCAGATAGAAAAAGGTCGTAAAATAGGTGGCCTTCAGTATAGATTGTGCTTATTTTGTTGAATTTCAGACAACATTTTTAAAGGTCAACAACAAATGGATTTAAATTTAGTACATAATAGATTTGTACTTAGTTACGTCTCATCCCTGGAAAATTATTTTAAGTTCTGCGAATAAATGCTTTCACTTTGATAGATGGATAGATAGATAGATAGATAGATGGATAGATAGATGGATAGATAGATAGATAGATAGATAGATAGATAGATAGATAGATAGATAGATGGATGGATGGATGGATGGATGGATGGATAGATGGATGGATAGATAGATAGATAGATAGATGGATGGATGGATGGATGGATAGATGGATAGATAGATAGATGGATGGATGGATGGATAGATGGATAGATGGATAGATGGATAGATAGATAGATGGATAGATGGATAGATGGATAGATGGATAGATGGATGGATAGATAGATAGATGGATGGATGGATAGATGGATGGATGGATAGATAGATACATTATTAATCCGAATTTTGGAAATTATTTTGTTACAGAAACAGTTTGTTCAACATTAAAATACAAATACTGAAAAAGTGGAATAGAGAATTAACAATAAAAAAGTTAAAGTGGACCTATCATGCTATATTTGAATAATATAGTGTAGGACCATACCTATATAAGGCATATTTATACTTTTTTTTTTCAAAATACCAAACAGATCATGCATTTTAGCCATGCCTCATTTTGTTCAATTTGACATTTTTTAGATCTGTTTTAGCAAGGGCAGATTCAGTGAGAACAGCACCATCTACTGGCCTGGCATATGTATTACAGCATCTCCAGCGCTTTCGAACGGCAATGGCCGTGGCAGTCTCCTCCTGATTGGTGGAGTTGGCCCAATAGCCGTAGCGCCACTGTCCTGACGTCAGGACAGTGTTCAAATCTGGATCAGTTTTTATCAGATCCGTTGCAGCCCCTTTTTTAGAGATTTGGGTATGGAGGAAAATAGAGAGGGTTGTGTTTTCTGACACTTGGTGAGTTCCCTGGAACACCGGGGACACATATTCATGTATACAAGACGTACAAAAGTGCATTTTGCATGATAGGTCCCCTTTAAATTAAAATGAAAAATAGTATATCAATATAAAATATCCTGGATAATCAAAATGTTCTAAAAAAGTCAAAAATACTACATACAGTTCTAGCAGTGTAGAGCTACTCTTAATAACACTGAAACCCTGGTGGTAAATATTGGATAAAATACAAACGAATGCAGGACGACAATGTGAGAGAAAAGGCATCAAAAACATCCCGAACCTTTTTATCAACGTCTTGGTTTTTCTTCTCCATCGGCTGTTTTCCCTCCTTCTCATCATCCCCCCCAAAAAAGGACTTCCCTCATTAACCCTTCCTTTATTTCCTTCCTTCCTTCCTCTTCCCTTTCCTCTCCACCTTCTTCCTCGTCACAGCGGGTTTTAAGTCCCGTCAAAGATCTTTGTCAGCAGGAAGTGTGAATGCTGACGCCGCCATCAGAGCATCCTCCCGCTCGTTATTAAACCCCAAATATGGTCGTCTGTTTTTTTTTTTGCTATTTCTTCCTTTTTCTCCAGATTAATTTATTCTCAGCTCGGTGCTGCAGTGTGCGTTCACACAACTTTAATAATCACAAGACTTTACACAGCTGTGGAATATTAAATCTCACACTCCTCCCAGTATGTGCTGAGGCGTTGTTCTACAGATCTAATGTCACATGTCACGGACAATTTAAGGGACTATTTGTTTTCTAAATACTTTCTATTTTTCATGGAGAATGTGGAAAGGATACAGGACAGGATGGTGGTTATTTTTAAAGGGGTATTTCTAGCTTATTGTGAGTCTTATTATGGTGGTTTTGTCCATTTCTACCAGAAATAATAACACTTTTTACCAATTGAACAGCTGCGATATGAAGAAGTCATATAATCAGGTTCATTTTAAACAGTTTATATATTTGTTTGCAAGATTAACAGGTTATTTATCCTTTTCAATTGTTGTCTCTTTACTTCTGTTGCTACAGTAAATAAATAAAAGTAACTTCAAACAGCTATGCATTTGGCAAAGATAGTAAATACACGTCTACTTTTTAGAGGATGTCAAATAGCCACCACAAGTTTAAGCATTAAAACATAATAAGCCAAAGGACAAAGTGCCCAGTGTGCAGAATGATCCCCTTTAGAATAATAATAATATATTTATTTTGTAAGCACTTTTACAGGTAGTAAAAAAAAGAACAACAAATAAATATAGTTAAAGTCACATTAAAATACAACAACAATCACACATTAAAAGCCAGAATAATTTATTACATGGTCTTAGTTGAATACTTGATTCTGATTGGTCTATTTGGACAGTCTCACAATGTTAATTCTCGCTAACAGACTGTTGCTGACGAGAATATTTCTGAACGTGGTTTTCTCGCCCTCAGTCGTCTCTATGTTCGAACATTAAGATACATCTTTCTCTCTCTGTTTGAATCAAGGCCGTACGTGGGCTCCTATCAACAGCTTCCATAAACTCATCTTCCCTCTCTGACTCCTCCAAGGCCATTTTTCTTTTCACGAAAATGTTCTTTATTTGAAGAGGTAAATAAAATAAAACACCGTCCAGTTTGAAGCTGAATGTGACTATTTAACCACACAATATAATCACATTATATAACTCCTCGCTCCCTCACAAACCCCCTGATGGAATACAATAAGTGAATAACTCTGACAGCAAGACACAGAAAGAGATTTATAACAAATAATAATAAACGCAAATAATCCCCAATCAAGGGAAACCGTAGCCGCTTTCACACCAAGTACTTTGCCGTACTTAGTTCCCAGTACTTAGTCCCGCCGAACTCTTTAGTCCCTGGAACTGTCCTAGTGGATCGCGTTCACACCGGAATAAGTCCCTGAGGGAAGATTACGCAAATGAGCCGCTGACGTCACTTCGTCTTCTTCTGCTTTGAGTTTACTGGCAGGCCGCAAACAACTTCACGGCGTATACTGCCACCCGAAGTCCCCGGCCGGAAGCCCACGGAGTTGGGGACTGGCTTCAGTCGAAGCTGCTGGTTAGCGTCTTCCGGGTAAATCGCCAGAAGCGCCGACACCTCCTCATCACTCCACCGCTCCCATGTTTTCTTTTGTGTTGCCATAAGTTAGTCTCTCTCCGTTGGTGCGCTGGGCTAATGCTAATGCTAATAATGCTAATGCGAGCAAATAAAATGGCGGCTTCACAAAACTGAAAGCGCCTCTTGAGTTTTAGTCTCAGTGCAGTTATTACATTTAAACTGGAAGGAAACCCGTTTCAATGAGTCTCCATTAATAGTTTTTTTTAGAAAACATGAAATGTAACGCAGCTTTGAAACTTTAAACACGTGAGCTCCATAAACATTCATCTGTTTGCATCTTGCTATTTATTTATATATATATCATATACTTGTATATAGACTCTTCTTGCACTATTTCTATTTTATTTATATTTACTTGCACCTCTCAAAACATTCTCTTGCACTATTTTATTTCTATTGTTATTTATTTCACTATTTCTATAGGTTTTATTTGTTTTCTGTCCTATATATATATTCATGTTGCTCTGTTGGAGGAGCCTGGGGGTGTTTCTCAATGTCGAGGACGCTTCCTTGGTAGGACATGTCTTCCGAGTCACTTCCTTCAGAAACGAGGCAAGAATCCTTCCTAGCCTCTGAAAACGAAGAATGGTGGAACAGGCTAACAGGTGTGCAGGTGTGAGTCATATGAGAGGCCCCGCCTTAAATGGAGCGCGATTTCCGCCAAAGATTTGGGAAATTGGTCCGTGCGCAAAGCATTGTGGGGATTTTAAGACCGCGGAGTCTACACATGTGCAGCCTCGAAATTTCCCGCAACGAAGGACGCCGGGCTCGGTAGAATTCCAAGCATCCTGGACATTGGAACAGTTCTTCGGCGGGACTCGATGACGTAGCATCCTTGAAATAGTGGCTCTGGAGGAGCCTTCCTCGACATTGAGAAACACCCT